GTTTTTTAAGGGCTGGGTGCTCAGAGCGACCCTGCGACATACGAAATGACAGCGCCAAGGGCGTGCATAGGGCGGAACGGCCTGCTGCGGCATTTATAACTACTAACCATATGCATATAATATATAATAATTGTAATAATAATTAAATCTACATATTTAAATTAATTGCGATTAAAAAAGCAAACGGGAAAGCTAAAATTAACAAGCAATTCATGATCTGTTTTGAGTTTTTCTAATTTTTCCATTTTTTTTTTTTTTTTTTTTTTTTAAGACTAAAATCTTTAATATATGACGTTGATGCCACATGCAGCAGGCGGCAGCATTCAACGACGTCCATTACATGTGATCACTGAAAGTAGTTGTAGAAGCCAGATGTTGCCTGTCCCAATTCTCGTATGGCCGCAAATGGATCTTTTTCCATGTCACTCGCTGCTAGGGAGGATTTCGAAGCATGAAGGGACCGTGTTGAGTTCATTGTTGGCTGCTGATGTGCGGAAGCTGCTTGCGGCCCTTGACTTAGCACAGCCGCATACGTGGTTGCTGAGGAGTGCTGGTGGTTGACGGCGTCATTTGATGGTTGTTGAGCAGTCTGTGGAGGCACGCTGGAAAACAAGTCCAGGTCATGTCCGCTTTTGATTGTGTTGTAGTTATTATAGAGCAGACCGTGGCCATGATCGGACTTGTTCGAGTGCTCCGATGCCGTATTATTGGCTTGGAACAAGACCTCAATCAGGTTGGCACTCGTGTCCAAATTGGCGAAAACACTGGGCATATTGTTATAATTGTTGCCCCCATTGCCGGCCATTGCCTGGCGGCGGTAGAGCGGTACAGAGCTGCCATTATTATGAAGTCCGTTGCTGTTCTGTCCGCCATTATTATGACTATTAAAGTTGTTAAACGGCTTGTCGTTCAGCAAAGTGTTTCCTGCTAAAGAAAAATGAGTGTCATTCTCTTCGACATAAAGGAGGATAAGCCAGATGGAACTTACCATTGTTCATAAAGTTAGATACTCCAGCGTTGCTGTTAGAGCTTGGGTGGACACCTGCTCCCTGCATCGGTCCAGTCATGTGGTTGGAATACATAGCTAGCGGCTGCAACTGGCCAGCGTTTGGGCCATGTTTTCCCATAGTCAGAGGAGCTGGTTGTGTCTGCTGTTGACCCTGCATCATACTAAAGAGTCGACTCTGTTGTTGCTGCTGTTGTTGCTGCTGCTGCTGATGCTGTTGCTGCTGTAATTCTCCGCCATTCATCATGCCATTTGAGAGTGACATGGTCCCGCTACCCGCTGTCGATGTTGTTACGCCCACCATGCCAAGAACGTCACGCAAAATGGGCTGTGCGATGTCATTGGCCCCATTCATGATCGAATTAAACACAAGATCTATTTGTTGATTAAAGTTGTCCAGGGGTGGCGACGACTCCACTGGCTGCTGATTCAGGTTTTGACCCTGTCCAGGGTAAATTACCGGATACTGTGCCCGTTGCGGTTGCGGCCCCATAACAGAATGTGGATTAGATATCATCGGCGGTCCTGGTACTACCGGTGGCTGGGGCTTGTGTCCTTGCGGATGATGCTGTGGTTGGTGGCCCTGTTGCTGCAACGTGGTCATCACTTGGCGCAGCATATCGCCGAACTTGTTGGCTGCCTCTTGACCCGCTGACTCAAGTAGTTTGAGGTACCACTTATACTGTTCTTCTTTAGAGCTGAACGCCATTTCATAGATACTCATGTTGGGAGGCAGAAGCTCGTGCGCAGCAGGAAAGCGCAAGTTGCTTGGCGACGGCTGTTTGCCGGCCGTGTACATGTAGGGTGCAGGTGGGGGTTGCTGAGGTGGACCAGCGGACTTCTCGTAGTTGGCATAACCTGCTGCAGTGCCATTATGACGCAGATAGGGTGGTGGCCCATTTTCCATTGGGCTCATTGGCCCATTGGGAACGCTGCTTCCACGTTGAATTGGTATCGGTGGCTGCCCGTACAGATGGTGTTGTGGAGGAAGGGCCTGTTGAGATGGTGGTGCCTGGCCATGGTTGTAAAGCGTCTTTTTAGCCAAGTAGCCCAGTTCACTTGGATTCCTTAGCAGTTGCGCCGCAGAGGTTGCATTAGCTGCAGCCGGTGGCACACTGCCTCCTCGCAGAGCCTGTTAATGAAAATTATTCAAAATATGCTAAGCAATTTTTTACCACATAATGATAAGTAAACCTAGCGATAGTACTAACAAATCTTTAGGATCGCCCCTAATATCATCAATTTGAGTTATGAAACAAAAACATTTTAGACTTGCCCTTGGTATATTGAAGATCAGTATATAGTATAGTACATATTTCTCGATTAAAATTTAAACTTACTGGAGGGGGCAATGGTCCCGGGCCACGGCCTGGAGCATTCGACTGCTGAGGTGGCTGCTGCTTGTTGGGCGGTAAGACGCTCCAAGGATTGGTTTGCGGTGGTGGACCCCAGAGACTGGCATTGGGATTCTGCTGCTGCTGTTGAGGYTGTTGTGGGGCGACGGGTGGTCGCCAATGCTGCATAGCTGTATACTGACCATAAGGCGGGGGCGGAGGTCCTCCACTGCCTGGCTGAGACTGTCGCATATGTGGCGGCACGGGAGGCGGCCCGTTAGTTGGCGGGCCACGCATTCCCATATGACCACGTATATGTCCGGCAGGCCCCGGACCTGGTCCTGGTGACGGTCCGTTGGAAGATTTACCGCCAGCGGCCACTGCTGCTGCCATCATTGCAGCCATATGCGTGGAGTACATATGATTGGCAGCCATTGCTGCGGCCATTTGATTCATTTGATGCGCAGACGGCCCGGGGCCCATGCCAGCGTTTGCAGTATAATGAGGCGGCTGACTACCAGGTGGCACGTGTGCTGGGGTATTTAGGTACAGAGCTGCTTGTTCGCGTAAGTATGCCTCCGGTTGCAGAGCACGAGGAACGAATTCAGGAGCTAATGGATTGAGAACATAGCCGCGTTTCATTTCGACGCCATCTAGTTGGGATCGCAAGTTTGACCAAGTCAATCCAAACAGGGATTTGTGCTCATCGCATATTTCAATGAATCGTTCCCAGACTTTTCGACATCGTCCTATCGAACATAGAGCAATCGGATCGCCAACGACAGCTACCAACGATTGCGCTCGTGTAATCGCAGTATTTAACAGCTTTGAGTTGCTTAGAAAGCCATAATCGCTGTCAGCGTCACCTACGCTTGCTGCGGAAATGGCCGCACCCCCAGCACCTGGGCTGTTTCCTTGCGGCAAGCATGTTCGCCTTGTTCGCACTGTGGACAGAAACACAGCACGGAACTGTTTGCCCTGCACATTGAGAACGCGTTCCACAGAGATTCCGCCCATGCGACGTTTCCTCAGCTCGGAACGAATGCGAAAAACTTGATCCGCATACGGAGTCATAATTCCGATGCTAGTATCATTCAACTTGCCCCAAGCACTTGGCCAACGTTTGCGTAGCTCCGAGACACGTTCAACAACTTCGTAGACCTCAGCATTGTTATAGAATGCTGTAGAATTTTTATCTTGTACATCCTCTCCTCTCGTTGTAAAAAATGTGAGTGGGTAAAAGCGTTCATGACGCGGCTGCTTGCCAGATGCTACAAGCTTTTGCTCGTAAAATAACTCCGAGGTGAATTTTATAATGGCCTCATGAGCACGATAGTTCTCGCAAAGCAAAATCTTACAGGGAAAGTTCGAAGGATAGTGGTCATACAGTCGTTCAAGCAGTGAAATATGCAATTTGCGTTCCTTTGCAAACGCGGAGAAGAGCT